TATAATTTGTTATTGTTGTCTACACCAAGTTTACATGAATTTCTCTTTGTCGGCCTGCCTGCCTACCTTTCCTTACATATTTCATGTTTGTAAACTAGTTTTACGCAGCTCTGTGAAACTGCAATGACGGAAATCTTCAATTTATATCTATCCGATTTTTTTAAACTAAAAGTTACAGAATTTGCAGCCATTTGAGTGAAAAAGGAACCAAACGAAGGTATTTTTTTTAATTTTATTTTTGTTCTCCATAAAGAAAGAAATCCCACTAGCGAACAAAAAGGAAGGGAGAAATGGAAAGACAATTTAAGGGCAACGAGGGGTGGGAGAAGGAGAAGAAGAGAAAATAAGGAATGATTGACCATTAGCTTTTATATTGGTTACCTTGAGAGAGAGTTTTTGGTTTTTAAAAAAAAATTAAAAAAAGGTGTGACGGAAGAGGTCTAGTGCCGGTACCGTTTTCAAGAACCCGGCTAGATATTCGACTATTGTTTGTCGTTTCTCTAAGATTATTTAAAAATTAAAAATTAAATTAATTTTATTTAAGCTCGATAGCGTGAGGAGTGGTTGCCCAATCTCCCGAGCCAGGGGCTCATTAAACGCTCGAGCATTCCGGATCGAAATGGAATTTAGAAATGTTGGTTTTTGCGGAGAGGGGAAAACCGGAGTACCCGAAGAAAAACCTCTCGGAGCAGAGAAGAGAACCAACAACAACAAACTCAACCCACATATGACGTCGAGTCCGGGAATCGAACTCGGGCCACATTGGTGGAAGGCGAGTGCTCTCACCACTGCGCCATCTCTGCTCCCCCAAAGAAGCGTATATTACATTAGCCTTCATTACTGACTATACCTTATCCAGCCGAATTTTGTAAAATCCACTCCAGCTGGCAACTCTAGGCCCCACGGCTCAACTTGGCTTAAATAAAGTAAAATAATATTGTAAAGACATGCTCTACATGACAGGGGCAGCTTGAGACTTACTAGCCCTAAGCAGAGAATTCAAGGCCAAATCAACCCCTCCCCTCCCCCACCCTCCTCCTGACCTGACACGGCCTCGTAGCCAAGTACATTGCATGGATAAGAGGAATCCTTTCTTTGGTCAATCGGCCTGAAGCATTTAACGAATTTGGCATGACAAACTTAAAGCAGATACTTAATCAGTGAACTGATCCTCGATAGAGAATTGCTGACCATACCACACTTTTTCAGCAGCCCCCCCCGCTAGGGATTGACATCGAGGCCCCATGGAGGCCCTATGGCAAGTTAGCTCAAGGATTGAGCTTGATGATGAGACCAACCAAGACAACAAGCCGCCCATGAAAATTTTCACCGCAGTCAGTTTCTGTGCGAGTATTCTAGGCCTTTTGAGACACGTTTTCAAAAAATCGGCCAGATATATTATACCGTAAATGACCTAATGAATGGCCGTGGCGTCTATTTAAATTTTGGGGATCGAAGCGGAGCCGTTTAATAGATACGATGCTTTTAAATGAGAGGCGCGTTTATTCTCATAACTGTTAACCATCTTAAAAATATTCACTCCATCAATTGATGCTTCTAGGCCGTTCAGAGATCCATATAGCTCTTCCAAATCCCAAGATCGATGTCAGAATCTTCGCTCAAGGTTATTGTGTTGCCATCATTTATATGGAACACGATGAAATACGCAAGGCCTTGTTAGTCCAGCAAGAAACTGAATGAATCGAATGTTTTTGCTTCGTTTTGCTAGACCTAGGGCGCGTTTATTAAAGGGGGCGTTTAAATAAATGATATTACATGGCAGCGCGGGGATACGAATTTCATCTTCGAATGCTGAAAGTATCTCTCACGAGTGAGCGAAGCGAACGAGTGAGAGATACTTTCAGCACGAAAAGATAAAATTCGTATCTCCGAGCGGCCATGTAGTGTTCTGTTTATTTTATAGGTACTGATGAAATTCCGACATAAAACACAATTTTTTAATTTTTGTTCATTTTCGAAACAGCAAAATAGTGCAATTATAGTGGTCCCCTATTGCAAAATGCCTGTCACAAAAATGTTAAGAAACTCAGATATAAAGTTATAAAGGAGAAATAAAGGCAAAATTACTTATAGTTTCGGTTCCCAAAAGTTAGTAACCATGGTGACACCAATACCCTCACACGTGAAAGATAAAAGTAACATGTTCACTGCCCGCGATGAAGATATGAGTAGTAAAAGGTAAAATCCTGGTATTTCATCAGTATCTATCAAGAGAGGATAAAGGGGACAGAGAAGGCATCCCCCATACACATCTTATTCCATACGTAATTCGTCTTGAGTTATTTTAAGAATCGGGATAAAGTTACCTCGCGCGAGGCGTGGATGTTTCGTGGAGGTTTGGCATGACTAAACGCCGTGCAAAACATGTCGGGCGAAAAGCAATGAAAGCGTAAAAAGATCGAAAGAAGCATTCCTGAATATTGAAGCGAAATGAGTCGGCGCTCTCCTGGGAAAAAGGAATCGCTGGACTCTTTGACAACCCGTGAAATCAGTTTAACTCGAAGTTGTCGTAACCTCAGTGCTTTAATAAAATGAGAAATTTCGCCGGTCTAATGAAACCGGTCGTTTGTACAATAGGGAAATCCAACGACGCGGACGACAACTAGAACGTCAAAAAACCAATAGGTTTAATTAGCAAAACAACAACTTCGCACGTGCAACACACTTTTTTTGTTCATTTCTTTCCCGTTTTTGCCGAATTTCGCGTTTTATGGAGGACGTAAACAAGCAACGACGAAATTTTATTTCTGTTTCTGAGCTTGAATATGGCCCTTGAAATTCAGTTTCAGGAGGGTTCGCCTACAATTCACAAAGTAAGCCGGGGTAGGAATAATCGCTATAAAGACTGAAAAAACTCAAATTCACTTAAAGTCCCTAATAAGGCAAGTAGGACGCCAAGTATTATTTTTTTTTAATAATAAAAGACTAATAAAGTAATAAATATCAAACCAGAAATTGCTAAGTGTAAATTATTAATGATCCTGAGAGAATATTCAGTGTGTTAAGGATTTCCCTGCTGTACTGTTAGCTCTATACAAGAGAGGAAGGGCGATTCTTTTTTAATTTCCGTTTCGCTGCCACAGCTTTCGCAGAAATCTCGCTAGGAATTGCAAAATCGCTCTCCGCGTCTTCCCCCATTTTGTTCTGCGTCATTTCGTGAAGGACGCGTGGCTCTCAGCGTGGGTCATCCACGCGGAACACATTCGCGCTATGTGATTGGCTGTTGTCTAATCCCCCTTGAGATCTGTGGTGTTAAAAATAACTCGAGACGAATTACCTATGGAGTAGGGTGTGTATGGGAGATGCCTTCTCTGTCCCCTTTATCCTCTCTTGGTATCTATATAATAATACAATTTTAACAGAGTAGAGGGGAGGTTTATTAGATAAGAGGCGTTTATTTGGAAGTGTGCTCATAATCAATTTATAATAATCAAATCTCGTTCGTCGTGGTAACGTCATTAGCGACCTTTAGCAATAAGGGCGAGAACGAGGACGAGGATTTGTATGACCGATTGCGTCCTGGAACGAGAACGTCGTCCACGGCAGCGGCATTTCAGCGGGAAACAAAATCATTTAGCAGACCGGTTGCGGCACCTCTCTCTGCAAATGGCGGGAAATCCCGTACTCAATGAAATGTGGGTGATGACTAGTGCTCGTTTTTAATTAGCTTGTGTGGTAGAGTTTCTTTTCGTGCCCTTCGTGCCTGCTATAGGTCCCTATTGTTGTTGTGCAAGCCACAACGAATTACGTTCTCAGAAATATCTCTGTCTCACACCAGGTGAGGATAAAACCACCAACAAAAAAAAAATATATATATATATATATATATATATAGTTATAATTGAATGATTTAAAAGGGAATTCAAAGTCATAAACATTTGAAAGACTCTTTTGTCGCGACAAAAAAAATATAAGTTGTTCAAGTCGGATTATAAATTTATAAATGGCAATTGGTAAAATTGTTTCACTTGATTATTTTGATACTCACAGCATCGACGAGTTCTCGTTTGGTGTAAAAGATGTTGGAGCAGTGACTGGATTGGATATCCACCGCGATCATTACAACAATGCTGACTGGGCTTTTGACTACGTAAGTAATAATAATACGTATACAACATCATCAAAACAAAAACAAAAGAGTATATACATCTGGTCGCCGGATGTTTGAAACCGTTTCCGCCAAGCATTTTATTATTGTTGTTTAAGTTGTTAATGTTATTATTATTATTATTATTATTATTATTATTATTATTATTACAAGTGATACCGCTAAAAATAAATTATACACCATATAGTGCTTCGAGTTTAAACCTTAAAATAATTTGATTTTCTTTGGTGCTGCAAATTTTTACGACGAAGTCATGGTTCGAGGTTGTCCGTTATAGTGAGAAGTGATGCAATTTGCTTCTATTGAAATGAGTGAATGAAAATTGGTCCCTCTTTTCATATATAAATCACTATAAAAAACCATGTATTGTTTCTTTTTGGCAGTTGCCTGATGATTGCTTCTCATGAAGCATGAGACTCTGAGTAGCAAGTAAATGTTTTTGACCTAGTTCAAGTCTACGTATCTAAATATATAATATATATTTAGATACGTAGACTTGAACTAGGTCAAAAACATATATATATATATATATATATATATATATATATATATATATATATATATATATATATATATATATATTGGAAGTAGGAAAAAAACTACGCTTTCATCCCGACGTGCCTGTTTCGTGATCTCTCACTCTTCAGGGGATTTTAATGATAAGAATATTCATAACCGTCGACTATATACTTTGAGATTACATTGTTGGGGAAAATTTAAATTTAAATGTTTAATTGTTACATAGCAACGCTTTGTTTCTGTGGCGGCGAGAAGATACAAGTTCGTTACGTTTGTTAAGTGATGATAGATTGGGACGACAGATAATTAAAAATTTCTCTTTGAGGCAAAGGTTACACCTTTCACTTGAACTGTTATAGGATGAGCTAGATGAAATGATACGCCATGAAATAGAGTAGTCAATGTTGTTGTCTTTCAGGGACCAGACTTGTTTACTGAGTTCCGCAGAGTTCCTGTGTTTTGTGTGACGGAATGATGCAGTGTGGTTTCTGTACCCAGTTTTGAAGGCGTTTTCTGTGAGTCCGATGTATGTTTCAGAAGTGTTATTGTCGTTACGTTTGACGGTTGGTTGGTAGATAATTGATGATTGAAGGCAGTTTCCGTTAAGAGGGCATGAGTTTTTTTGTCGGCAGTTACATGATTTGTTATCAACAGAGTTATCTGTGGATTTATCTGTGTGTTTGGATGCATTCAGGATACGCTTGTTGTGGTTGTCGATAATTTGTTTTGTGTTATTCATGCAACTGTAACTGATCTTGATGGTAATGCGGTTGAAGATTTTTCTGAGTTTGTTCTCTTTAGGGAAGTGTTTGTCTACTAGGGTGAGGAATCTGTGACCGATGTTGGTGTTGACGTTTTTGCTGAATGGGGGGTTGTACCAGAGGATGTTGTTGCGTTGTCTGTTTCTCCGTTTAGCAGTTGTGGTCGGTTCGTAGTGTAGTCTGTAGTGGTATCCGTTTTCGTGGAGTGCTTTTTGGTACGGGGGCTTGGTCGAATGATGTTTTGTCCGATGAAAGGGATGATAGCCGTCTGTTGATACCGGCGGGTATGTTCTTTGTGGTGATCGGTGGGTGGTTGCGCTCGCGATGGACGTACTGTAGCGTGGTGTTAGGCTTTGTGAAGGGCCGGTAGGTGCTGTTGTTAAGGTTAAAGGTGACGTCTAGGAAGTTAATGATCTGTTTATTGGCTTCAATTGTGATGCGTAGTCCATTTTGGTTAAAGACACGGCATATTTCCTTCTTGATGTTTTCTGTTTCTCTCGGTGCGGCATTAGAAATGGCCAGACCGTCGTGTCTGTAGAGCCCTATGTTGACGTCAAGGTGTTGTAATTGTGAAAGCAGGAAACTTCCTACTAGCTCACATGTCTCAGCGCCATCGTAGCTGCCCATTGTAACGTCAAATGTTGTGTCGCCCTTCTTTTGCCATGCTTGTTGCTTGTGTATTAGGATTGAGTTCTTGGCATGTATGATGATGTTTCGTTCGTCGTTCGTGATGTTGTCGTAGGCTGAGGCAAAGTCAAGTGCCTTGTTGAGAAGGTCTTGGCTGATGGAGGGGTAGAATTCTACGATGTCGAAGCAAATAAAGCTGTGATGTTGTTTGTTTTCAATAGCTTTAAACCACTCGCTCACGGAGGTGGAGTTTTTCCATTGGTTGAATTTGGATGCTCTCGTGATTTTGTTCTTGATTCCGTCGAGGGTTACCTTGCTGATTTTGAATATTTCGGATTTAGTAGGGTTGATTAGTCTGCACACTAATGAGAAAATATTTTATGGCAGGTGTTATCTTGTTGTGGTCTGATATTCTTCTACGTATAAAATTGTCAAAGTTATAAAGCTTTCAAAAAAAATTGCCTCAAAGGATTCTGGGATAATTTTTGTGATAATTAGTGTAGGTGATAGCATGATTTGTAGTATACACTTAATGTCAGATCCCGAGGGAAACAGTTAGTTTTGTTTTCCCAAGAGTCCTGATGTTTCCCGAGACGAAGTCGAGGGAAACATCAGGACTCGAGGGAAAACAAAACTAACTGGTTTCCCGAGGGACCTGACATTAAGTGTTTTGTTATATTTCTAGACTTTCACTTCAACAGCAACAAAAGAATAACCGGAGCGAACCAAAACAGTCGACTCGGTACTTATAACAACACAAATTTAATTCTCAAAACCACTGAATGAATGATTTACAAACAAAAGTACTTTCCTCATATTATCTGCATCTTTTTCCTCCACTAGCTGCTGTTTTTCTTCTGGGAACTTCTGGGATAACTTTAAAAATCGTTGCTTTTTAGCTTGAGGCTTCGTTTTTGTGTTGTTGTGTTCATTCACAAAAAAGAAAACTGGCTGGACCTGGCGGTGTTTTTCCCGCCTTCTGTCACACCACTTTCCACCATGCTTTGATCACGTGCTGCAATGTATCCCGAGCGGGATACATTGTTTAATGTATCACGATCGGGATACATTTGATTTTAGTCAAGGCCACGTGACCAAGAATCAACCAATGGCAGTCCCTGTTTAGTTGAGTGAAAGTCTAGGAATATAACAATGATATTTGTCATAAATACCACGAGTGATATTTCGAAATTGTTGCACGTAATTTCACGAGCCGTTAGGCGAGTGAAATTTGAGACAATTTTGAAATATCACGTACGTTATGCCAAATATCACGTACAAATTGTGCTATTATTTGTTTATACGACTACCCGCAAAAGGTTTGTAATTTTCACACGTAGGTATTTCAAATTAAGCTGAAATACCATTGCTCTAAGCCAATCAAATTGCCGTAATTTCTCATGTAGTAGTATAATACATGTAATTTACTTTTATAATTATTATTATTACAAGTGTTACCGGTAAAAGTAAACTATAATTATTTTACACTATATAAAGCTTCGAGTTTAAACCTTTCTTTTTCGTCTTTCTTCGGTGACTAAAATTTATACCACGAACTCACGGTTCGAGGTTATCCGTTATAGTGAGAAGTAATGTCATTTGTTTTTATTGAAATGAGTGGATAGGAATTGATTGCTTTTTTTGATACAAAAATCATGTCCAGTGACATACAAATCATTTCAAAGAGGAGGTAAAATCAACTATTACAGCTGATTCTTAAGTCATGGCACAAGCCGAATAATAGAATAGATTTACCAAGAGATACGAATGCTCTTAGTGAAAAGAAAAGAAAAAACAACAACTTAATAACAGCCTGCAAACAGCTAAGCATAAACTTATGTCATGTTAGGCCCTTTTCAAACGTGGAATTTTTTATGAGTGCCAAACACCTATTTTACTCGATGCAAATAATTAAATACGGCAGTTGATTCAGTAGTCGGATATAATGGTGCCGAATTTAACTCCGTTTGTTGTAAATATTCCCACTTTCTAGAAAAGAATTGTTATCCAGTATGGATAAGGGTTTCCATAATTAATCCTCGGACGTAGAAGCAAATTCATACCCGCACCGTGGTACAAGGGGATGTGGGGGTGGTTGGAATCCCTCCCCGGAGTGTTGTATATGTTGCAGTATTTCGAAACGATTATCGGCTTTAGTGGAAAGCCTTTAATCTTCGTAAGATGAGGTATATTCGATGGGCGGTGGCGCTGCTTGAGGCCTATGACTTCACCAACAATGGTTGTCATCTTGGCTGCCATCTTGGATTTTACCAAGAATTTGAAATCAGGTTTAAACCGCGAGAAATGGTGATTTTTTTTGCACTTTACATGATAAATAACACATAAATAAGCATTTTTTGCTTGATTTTAGCCACAAGATTTGCTTTTATTGTTAAACGAAGTTGAAAAAACAGGTATTTTCACCCAAAAATAGCTTGATCGCCTGGTACTTATGACGTCATATCTTGTAACATGTCAACTGACCATATTTTAACTTGTCTCAAAATGTGCGCGAGGGATGAACGAACAGCTACTGAGAAAGTCAGATGCTAACGTTTTATCCTCTAGGAAAAAAAAATAACTCAGAAAAACCTTACGAGGGTCGAACACCACCTCCCCCAACCCCCCCGCCCCCCCCTTGTACCTCCGAAATAAACGAAGAAGGTGACGAGGTTCGGTTTAGAAGTTTTAACAGGTAAAGCTTTGTCTTTTTGACTCGAAATTATCGATAAAACCGGTGAAAAAGTTTACAAATGCAAATTAAGCTTGTCTTGCGTTACTTTATTTAGTTGCCGGACTTTTTCATAAATAAGCTTAAAACTAAATTTAATAATCTTTTTTCTACGGAATGATTTTAAATACAAAAATAATTCACGACTCCTTTTGAAGAGATTTCCCCGCAAGAGCTAAACAAATGCCTTCAAAAGTTTTATTTGTGGGCAAGAAAAAGCGACGGTTGCTTCGCAGCTGGGTAAATTGCACGACTAGCCACCTCCACTTCGGTGAAAAATTGTTATATATTCAGCACATGCGAAATGAGACTTCTAACTCAAATGTTGAAGGTAAGCCGAATTTTCGACTGTTTTAGTCGCAGATTCGGCAAATTCTTACAGTGAAACCTCTATTAAGCAGACTCCTTCGGGACCTTCCCAAGTGTCCGCTTATTATAAGTTGTAAAAATTGCGGAATGTTTGTTAACGATCAACATTCAACAGTTACTGTGTACGGTTTTAAGTTGCATGTTGTTAAAGAAGCTATTCAGAGTTCAAATTCATTACTTTTCATTACCAACTTTAATTTGTTTGTAAATTCAAAAACATTAACTTACTTCAGTACGTATTTCAAGGACGTAATCCAATACTATAGGGTGTCCCAAAAGTTCGTTCCTCTACTTTTATGCGCTATTCTTGCATGAAATTTCTAAAAGATGTTTATTGCTCTATCGAGTACATGTATTCAGAATTTCAGTAACCATCATTTCGCGTTTTTTTTTTTTTTTTTTTTTTTTATCACATTCTGTAGCCGTTGAGGCATGGAGTGGGATACAGCATGTAGAGCCACATATAATCTATTTTGAGACTTTTTATCACCTGGTACGCGGGAGCCACTTCTCCACTTCGACTCCCCCAAAAAACATTTTTTTAGTTTAGGCAGCTGAAAAAAATAGACTTTAAGCATTTATTCAAAAAAAGATAATTATCCCAGCCCCCATCCAGAGTAACGCTTTTGTTCATCTTTACAAATTTCAGACGAGCTGATCGTGTTTGGCAGACTAAGCAGAGGTGTTCTTGTTATCTCTGGGGCCTCTAACCTTCGCTTTTCATGAAACTGCTCTAGACTTGGCTTTCTAACTTTGGTGAGAGCTATCTCGCTGAGTAGTCTCTTTTATATCTAACCTTCTTCAAAACTATTTTAGCCGTTATATTCAGGACAATCAGTCTTCCCTTTCTTTTTTTGTCTTCAAAACCTTCATTCCTCGATGACCATTTCACCAACCCAACATTCGGATTTTTCCAGTTTTTTAGCAGTTATTTCTACTGATAAGCCGGTAAATGTAAGTAAGCATGCCGCGCTCTCATGTAGCTGAACGTTTTTGCGTTTAGAGAACACATGAAAGGAGTTTGAGCAAATTGGGCTACAGAATAAGAAAAATATGAGGCGGGAAAATGTACTCGCGCACGCGCACCTCAACTTTTGTTTAAAGGACTTGCTTACCAAGTCCAATCGGACTACATCACAGTCTTATAAAGTAGAGGAACGAACTTTTGAGACACCCTGTACTATTGTCAATTCAGTCTGGTGTCCGTTTAATAGAGGTTTTTAACAATAGAAATTTAATAGCCAAATACAAGTTATTTTAGTGTTTGCGTCCGGTTAATAGAGGTGTTCGCTGTATGGGGGTTCGTTATAATATTTTACTTAGGTGTTTATATTTGTTTGTTTGTTTGTTTAGATTAAAGTGAAGAGATCAAGTGACTCAAATTACGTGTATTTCTATTTCTCGGACTGGTTAGAGCCAGAAACGTGGGTAAAATTCACTTGTAAGTAACTATAACGCATGTTATATCGTTTATTTATAAAATAACTAACTAAAGATAGTACGCGCGTTCTAATTGGTTAAAAACCTATGGTTTATTGTGCTGGTAAACTCATATATGGACTGCCGGTAGACTCCGTTTTACTTAAAGTTATTTTAAAGAAGTAATAGACAACACTATCTATGGGTTTACCGGCGTGATAACTCACTTGGGATGTTGGGAGAACACTCCAAAAGCTTGTAAATCACGAGCCGAAGGCGGGTAATTTACAAGCATTTCTCGTGTTCTCTCAACATCCCAGGTG